ACTCAGTTTCCTCCCAGAAGCCCTTGCTGAGGGGATGGCGCTGACCTCTGCCTTCCCTCATCCGGACCCTTCTGTGCACGTCACCGATCCTTCGGGACCACGCAGGACCCCAGCACCCAGGCCGCCGCAGCACCATCCCCCCTCCCCCAAGCCCCTTTATCACTCATCTCAATTTCTCATTCGGACCCTCGGTCACACAGGCTCCTACCACAGCCATCTGCAAACGCTGGCGGGCACTGGCTGCTGGGAGAGAGAACTCGGTACAGTCTCTGTCCTTTGGCCTCTCAGGACACAGCTGGGGAGACGAGAGGCACACACACGGAGACGTGGTTGCATCCTGTCGTTAGGCAGGGGCCAGGGGGACAGAAGCGGGAAACGTGGCAGAAGGCTGAAGGAGCTGGGTGACAGGGCCTTGAGGGACACAGGATTTAGATGGACTGAGACGGTGGCATTACGAGGGAAGGGCTGTGTGTGTTTGCGCTGGGGGCAGGGACCGCGTGTGGCATTCAGAGTGGACGGACCAGAACAGGTTACTAAACACTGACCGACTTATACCCACATATTTACTTTTCACCGAGAAGAATACTTTAAGGAAATACCAGGCAAGGAAAAGCCCGCGCTGTTCTGACGTGGCAGATTTCAACTTGTAAAACGCGTACGGAGTTTCTCACTTCGGATTAATAAGGGATTACTGCCCAAAAAACGGGGTTACTGTTCAAGCTTCTGCGATCTGGCAGAAACACCGGGTCAGGGCCTCGCCGCCGGGAGACTCTGGGACTACGTGGCACTGGGAAGTCAGGCTGGCTGCGGCAATGGCCTCAGCAGCAGTGGAAAGATAGAAAAGTACATAAGCTGCTGCTCTGCATGGCCTCTCCCTGCGTGGATGACCGCTGACCTCCTGGGGAGCCTTCCCAAACGCTCTCTTAATGGCCACCTCCAAAGTTAAGTTGCCTGGCTGGACGCCATGGGCCCAGGATGACCTAGAGCCCCGACCCTATGATTAGAAGCTGACCCGGGGAGGGGACTTCGGGTGGCTCGCAAGCTGCCATCAGGGCTGACTCATTCCATGGCTCACGGTGACGTGGCATGTAGCACGTGGCACGGCAGGCGGCCTCCTGGGGCAGATGAAGAGCTCTGAGGAACACACGGCCCTGGGGAGAGGGCACTGCTAGGCCTGGCAGATGGTCATCTGGGTGGGAACGGGGATGGCATCTCATTGGGTCACGGGACAAATCAACGCGTCAAGGGTTCCAGCTTTCCGTAACAGTGACAGCTGGGCTTCCTAGAATTTTGTAGAGGGGGCAGATTTCCTTACAAGCCCAGGAAACTGCTTTCCTCAGCCCAGGCCCCCCAAAAGACTCCAGGATGGTGGCCCTTTCCTTTCTGGCTTGGACGGCCTCCTGGATAAGTGACCTGCTAAGGCAGGGACGGCCCAGATGGGCAACGTCCAAGAGTCGGATTAAACCTAAACCTCCCGCCCCCAGACGCACAGCAGGAGACAGTGAGTCACAGAGAGAGGAGGCAGGCGGCACATCCTTGACGTCTGGGCCTAAAAACCCCACATTCCGGGAACCTATCAGTCCTGGGAGAGCCGGATGTCCGCTCAGTCCAGGAACAGAGGACAGTAAGTAGCCCAGATCCTACAACTCAACCCTTTGACCTTGACAGTTTGGGTTTGGGCTATTTCATCAGAAGCACAAGTGATTTCAAGATGAAGTCACCTGAAAATATGACCTCATTGGTGCTAGTCATCAATCCTTGGTCTTTTTTTTTTTTTAATCCTTACCTGAGGCTATTTTTTCCCATTGTTTTTCAGAGAGAGTGGGAGGGGGAGAGAGAGAAAGAGAGACATTGATGTGAGAGAGACACGTTGACTGGTTGCCTCCTGCACATGCCCTGATTCAGGCTGGGGATCGAACCTGCAACCGAGGTACATGGCCCTTGGCCAGAATCGGGACCCTTCAGTCTGCAGGCCTACACTCTAACCACTGAGCCACACCGGCCGGGGCCCTCCCTGGTCTTGATAAAGATGGTTTTTCAGTCTTCCCTCTGTCAAGAGCTCTCTTGCGATGGGAGGTTCCAGGTAAACGTGCTCTGAAGGCCTGGTGCCCACGTAGCTCGCTCATCACCGACCCTCTTGTCAGTGGTCAGTGGCACCTGAGGAAATGTCCGCACAGTTCTTGAGATCAGGTCAATGTCAGTATTAAGACCCTGGGCAATTAGGAGCTTATCCTATGGAAAGGGCGAAGCTACAGTGTTCGGCCAAGGAGGGGAGGATCTAAGTCTGATCTGGGATCTCTGCGAGCAGGAGGGAGTTAAGGGGCATTTAAGCCCAAGATACTGAAACGCTTTTCACCTTGAACTCGCTAGAAAGGAGCTGAGCTGGCCCCAAGCTTCTACCGCGGGGGGTCCCAGGCGGCAGTGGGACCAGAAGGGAGCGCACGCAGCTGCATTGAGCGACGTTTTACTGAAGACGGACCGAACAGCCACCGTCCACATCGAGGCCCCTCGCCCTCGCTCCCCTGGCGGTACTGGCACTGCAGATGGGCACCTTCCAAAAAGGGGGCGAGGGGGGAGACGGCAGGGGGTGCAGGGGCACAAATCCACAGGCCTGTGCTCTTTAGATCTGGAAAACAGCCCCTTGCATGGCACTAGCAGGGGTCCTCCGAGTTAGAGCTTCCCCCTAGAGCCCTTCCAACGCCCTTCCTAAGCTAGGCCAAAAATAGTGCGCATTGCACATCTGTGACAAACCACTATTTGCCCAGGCTTTGATTTGGGGAAGAAGAGAGAAAAATGGGTATTTACGGTTAGGAAGTGAACATATATTGACAGCAACCGAGAGGGAGCTGGTATTGTCTGAGAGGAGAGTCAAAAACTGTTTTTTCTGCCTTATCGGAAATCACGAGGAAGCGGGTGTGCAGAAACCAATCGAAAAAGTGCCTTTAGAAAATTTCTGCAATGAAAAAGTTTTTCTAAAATGAGGCTTTTTTAATACCTCCCAACCATGGAGTCTCAGAGCAGTGGGAACACGCTGGGGAGACGCCCGTGTAGGAAGAAGGGCAAAGGGGCTCGTTGTGACAGAGGCGGGGGAAGGGGAGTCACGGGGAGTCACAGGGAGTCACAGGGGGGTCTCTCAGAATCCGCGCCCTTGAAGTTTGTTCCCAGGATAAGAAGCATTTTGGTGCAGAGAGAAAGGAGGGGCTCTGGGGGGAGCCAGGGGCTACCGGCCCCGGGGCAGGCACTTCGTGGGCAGTGGGAGCTGCCACAGCCGGGGAGGCAGGACAGGTAGGCCGGGGTCACACTGAAGTGTGCCTGGGTGCCGGCCGCTCGGGTGGCACTGTGCCAGGGGAGGTGACTCGGGAAAGTCCTGCGGAAGCCCAGGGAATGGTAGCTACACGGGTGAGTACGTATCAGAGGGTCCTGAGCTGTATACTTAGGGTCTGTGTACACACAGGGTTTTACAATATGCGTGTTAAATTTCTTACTCAGGAAAAAAAAAGGAAAATCCTATAGATTTTCTCATAATTCTGAACTGAGTTTTTGGCCTACGAGTTTCACTGAGAGCAAACACCTCTTGAGAACAAAAAAATGAATCACTAGGTAAATATTGACCTGTTGCTAAGTGAACGAGAAACGTATGGCCCCATCCCAGCAGCGTTTTCCTCTGGACACTGAAAAGGTTCACCCCTAACGCACGGCTGGGCCGATTACCTTAAAACAGACCGAAACACTGACTTGAATGCTGAGAGGGGAAACAAATCCCCGATTCTCCTGTTTTCAATGTCCACCTTTCATCGACTTTTTTTCCTACCCCAGAACAGCAAGGGGAAATGTTCTGATTCCGCTCAGAAGTCGTAACAACCGGCTGCGGTGGGTCAGGGTTACTGAGTGACACCGCCGGCCTGTTGTAAATCAGTCAACTGAACTTTCTACCCAGACGGGTGTCTGTGGAGGCTGCAGACAGGCTTCCTCTAGAAAAAAAACCTTCAAAGTCCCTGGAGAAACCCTTTTACCCATAACAGACATGTTTCCTGCCCTCAGCTTCAAATAGATGAGAGGCGGTGACAGAAAGTGCAAGACGGCCCGGCCGGTGTGGCTCAGCGGTTGAGCCTTGACCTAGGATCCAGGAGGTTGCGGTTCGATTCCCGGTCAGGGCACAGGCCCAGGGTGCAGGCTCCTCGATCCCCAACAGGGGGCGAGCAGGAGGCGGCCGATCCATGACTCTCATCATTGATGTTTCTCTCGCCCCCTCTCTCCCCTCCTCTCACCTGCACCCGAAGGGAACCAAGTCTAGAGTCACAAACTTGGGCTCGCTGCCCCTCTCTGCTGCTCTGCATCCTCACATTGAAAGGAGGAAGGAACCCAACCCCAAAGCTGTTAAGAGGACTGAAAGGCCAGAGCCCTGACGGGAGGCGCAGTTACTCAGAAGACATCAGCAGGGAAACGCTGACCCGTGTGTCTCCTGAAAACAGTCCGTGTGACATAAAATGTACCCTTTACGAGGGCGGTTTCCTCTCTCAGAAGCAGCGCTCCCCCGGCACGCAGGCCTGGGCCTCACGCAGGGACACCTGGCTCGCCTGGAAGGAAGGCACCCTGTTTAGGCGGTGGCATCTCTTAGCTCATGTCAGGCCATTTTTCACTGAGAGATGGCGAGGCCCCAACTCGTAAATCCGTGTCCTTTTGCTTATTAATCATTTTGGGTAGAGCTGGTTCTTCTGTCCTAGCAAGAGGGGGCATTCGATACCCGGCTAGAATGCTGCCCAAGGTTTCTGTATCCACCTAAAAATGACCACCGTTTTCTGCCGTGTCCTTGTCATGAATGCTGACTCCAGGCAACCAAGATCGGATTCTGTCTCCTACCCTCCGAAATTCAGACCGAGACTCTGGCTGTTTGAACAGCCACGATGTTACCTTACAGTGGCCTGAAGGACACGCGGGACAAGGTTGGCTGAACACCGCCCAGGCCAAGGGGCTCAGCAGGCGCGGGACAGGGTACTCACTCTTTGGTCAGAAGAGGACAGGACTTGAGCAGAAAGCGGGAGAGCCCCGAGTCCTGGAAGTAGAGGTCCGGGGGGGCGGTGGGGCTCTTCAGGTTCAGACAGCGGACGATCACGTACAGCACGGCGGCCACCGCGGCCAGCTTCACCCCGTCAAACACGGCCGGGAGCTCGGGGGTCTCCAGCATGGCATCCATCTTGGCCTGGGGAGCAGAGGCACAGGGTAGCTTTAGGGCTCAGCGAGGCGGGTGGAGCCCGCACGCGAGGAGACAAAGCCGGCGACGACTTGTCCCATCCAGATGTGTCCACAGGGCCCGCCCGGGTGGATTGCCATCAGCACCTTACAGCTGCCCGGGGACTGGCAACCACCCAAATCACAAACAGTCCTGGGCACTGATAAGCTGGGTCGGGTGTTGTTTTATTTAAATTTAATGAACCCCTTCTGAGTGAGATAAGCAAACTGGAAAACGCTGAGAATAGCATCCTTCAGGGAGTGGGAGAGCAGAGGACAGACGAGTGGCACCGGGAGTGGCACTCCAAGCCCTGTTCACGGGCAGCCTCAGGTCTCTGCACACTTAACCCACACGTCCCCGGTGCACCAGGTGTGTGGGAAGGTCCCCGTTTACAGCCGAGGACATGACGTGAAATGGGACTGCGAGGGCCCCCAGCCGTGGCTGTACTGCCCCCTGGCTCCACCCCTCTATTTTTAGAGCAGAATGAGATAAAGTCACCTGGGCCTGACTGGTCATCTGCTCCTCAGGTGTAAAGTTCAGAGCCAGCCCAGGTCACAGGGATCCTTGCTTCTGGGGGTTCCGGGCAGTGTGAAATGGAGCTCAGCCAATCCCCGCCCCCACGATTACAAAAATCGGCTAAAATTGTACCAAATTCAATTGCTAAGCCAAAATTAAAAACTGGAGGGAGGCCCGGCCGGTGTGGCTCAGCGGTTGAGCATCGACCTAGGATCCAGGCGATCGCAGGTTCAATTCCCAGTCAGGGCACAGGCCCGGGTTGCAGGCTCGATCCCCAGTCGGGGGCGTGCAGGAGGCAGCCGATCAGCGACTCTCATCATTGATGTTTCTCTCTCTCTCCCTTCCTCTCTCTAAAATCAATAAAGATATATTTAAAAAACAAAAACAAAACTGGAGTGAGAAAACTGCGTGCGCGTACCTGGCTCTTCCCAAGCTCTCTTACTATTTTATCTTCTGAAGCAGTTTTACCTCAATTAAGAGATACACACGTGGAGACACATACCTCCAAACACATAAGACAAATATCCACGAAAAGCAACAAAAATCCAGTCTTTTCCTTGCTGCTCAGCAGAAAAACAGAACATCAGCTGTCACCTTAAAAACCAGGGAAGCCACAGGCTCGCAGAACAAGAGAGAATGGGACTCTCCCGGCCAGGGTAGCTATGGCAACGGCTTCCCCTGAACCGGCTCCCGGTGGCCTCTGCCAAAAACAGGCGGCAGGAGGACTCAGCCGGCCAACAGCGCAGGCAGGACGGGAGGGCAAAACAGCCTCCCAAAGACATGTTCGGGGCACAACCGACGGGCCCTGTCCAGCCCCTCAGCGAGGCCAGAGGGGATCAGAGGCCCTTTGCTAAAGTCCAGGTGACTTTGGCAAATGCAGGGCCCAACCGCGCTGCAGCTGACCTCGGGCAGGGCTCCGGACTCAGCGCGGACTGCAACCAGAGCGCGCAGCTCCTTAACTTGCCACAGGGCAAAGACTTTAATTTTCTCTCGTTCTTTAAAAATATGTCTTTATTGGTTTCAGAGAGAGGAAGGGAGAGGGAGAGAGAGAGAGAGAGAGAAACGTCAGTGATGAGAAAGTCACTGATCGGCTGCCTCCTGCATGCCCCCCGCTGGGGATCAAGCCTGAAACCCAGGCCTGTGCCCTGACCGGCAATCGAACCTCGATCTCTTGGTTCATAGGTCGATGCTGAACCGCTGAGCCACACCGGCTGGGCAAGAATATAATTTTTAATAAACCATCCGACACAATTTTGCGTCTAGGCTAGACCTCCAAATATACGGTCAGCTGCAGCCACCTTTGAACTTTTAAGAGCTGGCAGTTTCCTTAAAACTCAACCTCTGGGGACATGTCCCCCCCTCAGGATGAGCTATCTATAAATTCCTAAAACAAGGATTCTAAACTTGGGGTCTGTGGGTCCCCTACAGGATGCCAGGGCCCAGGAACCCCGTGGCAGTTTGTGTGATGCTTAATTTTCTGGAGAGGGGGGATCTGCAGAGTCAATCAGTTCTCCAAGGGGTCTGTGGCCTAAAACATCCACAGTACCGCATTCAAAGATGCTCCCGGGTTGAACCTGTGGCCCCGGCCACTTGCCTCATCAGGGCCCTGCCACCTGTGCCACTCAAGCCACCAAGAAACGCTCAGGATGATATAAGTCGTCACCATGGATTTTTAAGAGCCATAAACAAGACCTAGCGGGGCGTCCAGAATGCCTCTGACCTGACGCAGGTGCTCTTCTCGCCCCCGTGGTTGCAAAGAGAACAGAGGAGACCAGCAGGTGGCTCGACCAGTTTCCCTGTTGGTCTGGAGCAGACTCATCAAATAAAAAAAAAATAAAACAGCTCCCCC